GGGGGGGGGAGAAGAGACAGGATCTATCACACAATTCTACTCAATTCCCAACTCTTCTTTCCTTCTTCCCTAGCTTAGTCACCTTCCCTCAGAATCCTCCCTCCCTCTTCCAACCCTTCCTCACCCCCCACCCGCCCATCAATCCTCCCAACTTCCCCATTCCACCTAATCTCTATCCTCCTCCCTCACCCTACCCCTACACACACCCTAAAGTCCCCTACATCCCTCTTCCCTACTCCCCCCTACCCCCCTTTCCTAATCCACCTCCACCTGCATTCCTGACCAATCGCAGACAGCGGTCCGCGACCCATGAAGACTTTCGGGATGTCTGAAACTTCTGCCCCACGCCACCAACCACAACTGTAAACAGTCGATGAAGATTGTACGTTTACCTAAACTACCAAAATCAAACAACTAACAACAAACGCCTCACGCCTGTCCTTAACACTGCATCAAGGTAGCGGAATGTCTTATTTAACATGGATAAAGAAATTCCTTGTATATATTGCTTGTACAACGTAATTAATGGCAAAATGAAAAAAGTCTGCTTAACACAGTCCTAAGTTATCGGGTTCACTCAAAGCAGTGGATTAATATAGCGTTTTATGGCTGTCCAGCTGTCAGTACCCTAACCTTCCTACTTTTGTTCCTAGTGAACAAATTTTATTAGTTGCCGAGCTGTCTGCCAAACAGGATAGACTCAGATACCTCAGCAACAAAGATATTATATGCTTATAGTACAAGTATTACAGTATTATTATATTATGGGGAAGTGTGGGACCACAGACCCAGATGCCGATCCTGTCCATTGCATGAGAGATAGAATGAAAAATATCAAGATATAAGAAGAAAGCGAGAGATGAGATGAGAGAGGCAAAAATACGGGAAGAAAATGAGAGACGATGTAATGGAGAATAAATGAATGCGAGGCAAATGGAGAGAACGAGTGACTGACATAAAGAACATGACTCAACTAGAAATAATGAGAAACGGTCATAGAAAAAAGTCATACACAGACAGGAAGAACACAAGACAGGGATCGAAATATGATAATTGAAAACGAGAAGCAGATAAAGAGAACGGGATGCAAAAAAGGAAATAGACCGAGAAATAAAAAGAATTATAAGCAAAAGAGAAGAGGTGGACGGAATACGAAAAAATAGACAGAACAAAACACGGACAAAGAGACGCAAGATATACAATCAGAGAAACAGACAAAGGGCGAAAGTTGACAGAAACCGAATGATAGGCAAGGAGAACGAGAGGAAGAGAGAATGACAGGCAACAATGAAAACGAACATTGATAGAGAGAACGAACGCTAGATAGAATGCAAGGTCGTTTGCTGAAGCAGCCATCGCCTGCGATGCGTCGTCCGGTGGCAACCCCTTCCCTCCTGCATATCAGCTTCAAGTGCAACCATTCCAAACGCTGAAAAAAAAAAAAAAAAAAAACTGATAACAGAGGTACAGTATTCGAAGGCTGTCAAGATGCAACGCAACACCTACATTTCTTGTATGATTGCATAAGGATATTTGCGCTGGATCATGTACACCTCATCATGTCATAAATGACATACGTAATGTCAGCCTTGCGTTCCGTTTGACACCGTAGTTATACGAACAGCAGTTTCGACGGAAAGGCCAGCAGCGCGATACCGGTATTTTTCGTGTGACGCATAGCAGCCAAGCAGACCATACGTACATTTTTTACATATACGGGTAAAGTGGAATCCCAAAGAATGACTTTTTGTATGGATTCCGCCATATAAGCTTATATTTTCCAAAATAAAACAGAGACGACGAGGTGAGATGGAAAAGAGGAAGGGGGGCAACAGGACGGGGTAGAACGAGAACTTGGGGGCCAAGTTTAAATAGCAGATGGATATTTATTGACATTATTACTGGTATTGTTATTACTGTGCAGGGGGAAATGGATAAATTACAACGAGACGTTTGATGGACCCTGTTATTGATCATGAAGTGGGTTTGTGCGGTGCAAAGTGAATTTCCCATTTTCTTCCCAGTTCGTTCTGTCGTTGACATGATTTTACTGACGGTTGGCTGCTCATGTTCAGGTGTGTAAGCTAGTGAAAAGGCCTAGTCATCTGTGAAGGTTTTAGCCTCTGGAAGTACGTGAAGAAAATAATTTAAGCACCGATTCTAGAGTGCGGGACCTTCCACACTTTGTGGAGCTCCCACTTAGATGATCTGGGGAATGATGTTTTCTAGCCAGTACGACGCTTCCAAACTCTAAGATAATCCTCGAGGAGGGACAAGACAAAGCGCAAAGGCCTCAAACCCAAAAACTCAAACAGAACACGATTTTTTTTTTAATGTTTGCCTTGAAGACAATCCATCGGCGGGTGTAACAGGCTGTCAAACTACTTTCTGTCTTAACGATCGTCGTAAAGTTACATTTTGTCTCAGACCAAATTTTTTCAGCGCGAAATTTGACTCCAAAGACGGATTCTGAGCGAAAAAATAGGCGAATTTTGAAGAA